TGACTGTGATAGTACTGCATCGACATCGTAGCGTTTTCCAGTAATTTCTATGGAGCGGGGGGTGAGAAGCCCGATGGCTCCAGGAGAAACCGAGAAAGAGTGAATGTTGTACATGAGAAGAAGAAGGTGAGCGTGAAAGGGAGGTCAGAGCGCGCGCGCGCGAGAGAGTCAACGAAACAAATGCGGCTACGAAAGGAACATTTTTTCTTTTCGTAGACGAGATATAGGTGGTTAGGAGAGAATAGTAGTTCCGCAAGCTTATATATATACTGGAAGGTGTACTGAGCGAACGAGCATTCCTAAAGGGGCCCGTTGATCGGTGGTTTATCATGATTCTAAACGTACATACGTCAAGGGAATTATATATACGCCGTTATTATTATATTATTATTACTATATTATATAGTGTATATATAATTTCCCAATGAGCTGTGCGAATACATTCCACCCGTTGAGACACGTGTGCGCACACACGCGAGAAAGAGAAAGAATAACGCGAACGTTTAGTATCGTTATCGGTGTCTGACGAAATCAGACAGCGACGACCCTTCGAGCGCTGAACACACCCAGCCGAAACGTTTCCGTGTGGGGATCGAGTGTCGTTCGCGTTCGTCCGAAGATCGATGTGAATTCTGTAGATTCGTACGATTAATTACGTTGCAATCGACGCGCCGACGATCGGAGCGTTGTTCGAATGACTTGAAACATACGCGATTATAAGAGAACCGATATCTCATCGAAATATTTAGTTGCGTAGGTAGCTATTTCAATATTTCCCTCGACTGCGAACGGTTAAACTCGTAGGAGAAATTCGGGGAACGCGTACACGCGCGGCCGCGGCGCTCGAAGGGTCGACGGGACATCTGTTTCTCGGCGAACGTACTGGCACAGTTCAATGGTAAAAAAGAAAAGCGCTGGAACACTTGATATAGCCGGTTGAAAATGCATGCATCCGTATTATTGTAAAATTTCCCGTGCCCACGTGGCGGTTCGAACTCGCGCGAGGAACACAACGGTTGAGGATACACGCGTGTACACGCATATACGTGTGAGCACACTCGGTCGTGTGCGGGGTATGCGTGTACACGCGTGTACGCGCACGCGTTATATAAATAAATGTATATGTATATGGCGTAATTACTAACCTAGCGTACCCGTGTCGCACTCCATATTTCATTTTTCGTACTCTTTACTGTGTATCTTTGATTTCGACTCAGGGCGCTGAAGCAGTTACGTATCCTTTGTTAAAAGTATTAAATAATTAAACGATTAAACTATATGTGTGTGTATGTATGTATATATATATACACATATATAGGTATGCACGTACTATAGATACATACACATATACATATATATACATACACACGTACATATATATACGTACACACATGCATGCATACATATATACATACGTACATACATATATATACATATATACATACGTACATACATATATATACATATATACATAAGTACATACATACATTTATATATACATATATATAGGAAGGGGATGAAGAGCGAGTGCATGCGTGGAGATGTGTGTATGCGTATGAGAACGGGGTCTGTGCGCGAGTGAACGAGCGAAGAATGCGGAATGTTAGCCGGTCTCGCTAATATTCTTTATCCGTATACCGTTCCGATTCGTCTTAAGTAGGTAATCGAATGAACTATCTATGCGAGTTAAGGTTTATGATACTCATATTAATTATTATGAATGTAACACACCGCGAGTCTACAATTCAGTATGGTACTATTAAACATAGTCAATAATTCCCCCATCGAAGGTTCTAATTCGGGACTCGTTCTCGTCCTTCTCGCTGATGCAACGCGTGCGACCACACACCTCCGCGAACAATCGTTATTATTCTCGCCGGTCCCCCGGGGTGTGTGTCGGGTTTGGGAATCCCCCGTGGGGCCGGCGATCCGAGATATATATATATGTATATCATTACCGACGCGTTGTACTTTGTTTTCAGCGGTGTTTGCGCCCCGTGTACTTTGTGTCCGCGAGAGTAGGTCGTGTACAGACGCAGGGGGAAGAGCCTAGGGGAACCGGAAGTTGAGAGGACGTCGTTGCGATCTCGCGTGAGAGGGGTTTCTCTTGTATTTTCGATTTCTCGCGAATGAACCGTTGAAAAGGTGTGTCGTCTGAAACAATCGTGTCAAACGCCGAAGAACAGCTGCGTGTCTCGTGTATCACTCGTCCTTTGTGTAACCGGAGATAAAGAGGAGGAATTATTTATTGCTAGGTATCGCGGTTATCGCGTTACACTGTCTTATTCGATTTGATTACAAAGTAGAGAAGTCGGTACATATCTACACAACGTATACTCCTCCTCCGTCAGCGCCGGAAGTGATTACAGAGCAAATTGGTCTCACCGGTAACCCGGTGTTTTAATAATAATCAGAAGAACAATCCCAGTGGGCTATTTCACGTTCGTGGTACCTTTCAAGGATCACAGTTTTCTTATTTCTTGAAAATGTGAATTGAGACAACGATGGAAACTATGAAACGTAATAGAATTAGAGTCGACGAATAAATGTAACGCTGAAAAGAATTCGTTCAACCGGTTTTTCTGACGCTCACCGTTGAGACAGATCGAGACATGTTCATCGGAGGTCGCAACGCTGATGGTTCGAGCGGCGAGAGACACGCGAATAGAAGTGGCATGTAAAAAGCTGCTGGACCATGGGGATTCAGGGGTGCGCGAGCTAACTTAATTAGATTGTCAGGGATCGAATGTGGGAAACACGTATTTTTCCTCTGACAGTGATTGAATATTTTTTAAATTGAAATACAGCATCGGCGATACACCGATCAACCGATTGTATAGGTTATTTATCACTCTCCACGCATACGATGTAGTATACAAGAACAGATTTTTACCTGTTTAAAGATTCGCCAGCCCTGACCTCCCAAATGGTCCAAGGTTACAACTCACTTAGCTTAGAGGTCCTTGTACAATACACACTTCTAGGACTTGGCGAGAACAACGGCCATAGGAGACTACTAGATCATAACTCACGTTCAATTAACGTCTATGGATCACGCGAGAAACTGGTCACCACTAAGTTTCAAACTAAAACCGCTTGATCTGCTCGGTTTTCTCGTTACTGTATCCAATGGAAACTGCTCGTCCTTGCTGCTCAGAGGAGGCACGCTAAAATTGATAACAGAATATTATAGTATAAATTAAGGCTTCGGCTAATGATCCAATTCGACGAATTCGTAACAGAGCTTTCCAATTTCATTTTCTACAACTTAGCATCAGCTCTGAGTAACAACCTCTAAAAGGAAGACGCAATTTTCTCAGTGTAATTATCTATGTGTACATATATATATATTCTTTTCTCAATGATAGCGCGAAGTAATGAAACTTCGGGATTTAAAATCAACTGAGGTCATCAACGGAGTTAATACATATCGCGTCAGAGAAAAAAGAATGGAATGATTATGTAACCCTGGAGCCTCGTTGATTCGAGCTGTATTTTAAATGCTGCTATCGATGAACAGAGAAATATTGTTTCCTCGGGCACGAGAACGAGCGGTATAAATGATTTTCCCGTCGCGTTTCATTCGCTGTTCTTTTAAGTATTAGCGACACGTTCGTTGAACGTCGATGAATGTCGAACGGCGTGTCGTCGTCGAGCGCGCGTTCAGAACGAAATTCCAAAGCTGTAAACTTATTGGTGATCGAACGTAAACAGGACAATATTACATATACATATATATATATATATACATATTATATATAAACGCATATTTTATTGAGAATCATAGGACAGTAGTGATCTGTGTATCTCTCCCTTGTAAATTAGCGAAAAGACGGCACGATTGTTCGGAACGAAGGAAGAGTAACGAAACGTTATATCGGATCTTTCGTGAACCACGCCGTTAACACGTTCACAGCCGCGTGGCAGGCTCGCCGTTTACTTTTGTACGATCGAACGAACATTTTGTCAGCCGTCGAACACGTCAGAAGCTCTCGTAGACGCACGTCGGTCGGAACGAAATTCGGTAAGAGAGTTCACCTGTGCCGGACAGTTCGAAACAATCAGAGATAACGATATCATTCTTCGGAATTTACTTTCAACGCTGAAACTACCGGACGAGAGAGATTCGGCTACTTGAGAATTTTCGTTTCTCCGTGTATTTAACACTGGAACTACCGCACCAGTCAAAATGACCGGTTTCGATTTTTTTCTTTAGCAATTATCGATATCTTCGGAGCATCGAATATTCGAAATGATTTTGAAAGTAAATAGTTTCATTTTAGTACTATGAGTGTCCGAAGAAACTGAAAATAATTTGTTACAATTTTTATAGGAATTGCATATTAATCGTATTGAATGCTCGGTAGTTCTAGCGTTAAATTACGAGGGTGGCTCTGAATACGCGATTCAATCCGCGACAGCCGCAAGATCTACAAGTATTGTAATTTTTATAAGAAACTGGGAGCAAGGCTCTCGGTGGTTTCAACGTTGAACAGTGTTATGCTACCAGCTACCAGCGTCACACATTTCATAAATTACTCTTAAAGTTACAAGCTACAATTATACTTCTCGACGACGTTTACTTTTACTCTTTCGATATTCCGTTTAGAAGTCAGAGAAAAATCAGCGCCATCATCGTTACATAACAATTAGCAATGATACATTACAATTCAACTGTAATTCCTTCGGATGACAAATTGTCGAATTACCTTTTACTCGCGGCGCTGTTACTAAAAGAATCTTGGAAACTAATTGCTTAATCAGGTGCAATCAAGAAACGCTGGTAGCCGAAGCGTTAACGCTGTAATCGCGAAACAAGGAAAGCAAAAGGTTCGAGCGTTGATCACTTTGCAATCGAGTTAGCAGTCATAGTTGAAGATTCGTCGACGAGACACACCGTACTTAAAGGGAAACCGTCGGTTATGGGGCATTGAACGTGTTAACGGCGATAGCCTAGAGGAACGTGTAAAATCGCTACCGTTTAGCGGACATATTTTGTTTAACGAGGAGATATCAAGAAGGTCGGACAAGTTCTATCGGTAGCCTAGAGTCAAGATAGGAGGACTGATAAGAAGCTGCTATATTTTCAGGATCACGATACGGAGAGTGTCTTGTAACCCTGTGTTATCTCGTTTTTCCGTTTCATCCTCGCTTCTATATCGGGACGTCTCTCTCTCTATCTCTCTCTCTACCTCTCTCTCTATCTCTCTCTCTGTCTCTCTCTCTCTCTCTCTCTCTCTCTCTCTCTCTCTGTTTCTCTCTCTCTCTTTCTCTCTCTCTTTAACGGGTGTAGCGAATACGTGCGCGGACATTTGAAAAACAGACGCGAGAAGGTGTACCAATTTTGCAATATTAGTTGAGACGCTATTATTTACTATGTTACTTTGCATTAATTGTCATCGATATCATTATGCGCTACGGATATGTTGTAATGATTATGTAAACATGAATGGCGTTTAATAGAGTATTTATTGAAATTAATCAACGTTCTTTTCTTATGGGTGACACGGCAGAAACCCGGCGAGCACACACGCAACCGTACTTGAATTTCATTTCGCAGCGATTCCCGAAGAAGCGAAAGAAGACCGAGGACAAGGGAGAGACGGACGGCGCACGGTACAGAAGTCGAAGGTGAGTTGAGACCATTCGTCGCGATCGTTCTCGAGTCATTCAATTTCATTTCTTCCCCCGTTCATTTCAAATGCATTTTTAGAAGCCGGACGAGACTGCGACGGTGAACGGTAGCAGCTGACGCTGTTGCATGCGAGAAAATTGTTGCAACCCGAAGACATTACAGTGTCATCAAACAAGCAGCGCGCGAGTCCACCGACAATGCCCTGTGCGTGATGCAAAGTATTATCCGTTATTAGATAGATATTTCGCAGGAATCCTTGCAATAATGTGCGACTTATGTAACTATGTGTTCTCGTTGTAGGTAGTGGGGGATGACGATGCAGGAGTACAACAGTGGCGGTAACCAGTTTCAATGAGTTATTGCCGTACCATCGGCTGGGCTAGTCATTTTACTAGCTGACAGCGTCGTCTATTTGTTATCAGCGGTTATTATCTAGTTAAAAGAATTTTTATCGTACTCGAGTGTCTAGTAGATAGCTTGTCTTAACGCGTCGTTTCAAGGATGCATTGCGCCAAAAAACGTGTCGGGTAAGTTCCCATTCGATCCAATTTCATTTTACGAGAAGCGAAGGATACGAATACAACGAATTCGTTCCATTTGACCTATAGAAACCATAGAGTTCGATGCGCGGATACGATGGTTGAGATTCGCATAAATCAATTTGTATATCAAGTTTAATCGCAGACGCTGCCGCTTAAATTGGCAATTTAACGTCCGCCTTGATTCATCCTGTCAGGGCTGCTTCAATTTCTCAGATGTTGTAACAGATATTGCGTTTAAAGCGACCGTTTGTCGAAATCTCGCGAGGACGTACGATCTGGAGACCGCAGAGAATCTTCTGCCTCCTGTCGTTTGGAAATCGAAGGAAAACGGCGTTCGGCTCGATCGCCGAAAAAGGTAATATTGCTGCGAGCGAAGAGAAAGTGGTGCACGCTACTGCGGTGAAGTTACCGTTTGCGATCTTGCACCGGGGCCAAGAAGTGAACGTCCTCCTGTGATTCATGCGGCTGCTGAAAGTGAATTCCACGTGAAAGTACATCGACTGCAGCGGAATGAGCGGAAACCTGCGGCTCCGAACGATCGGACGGACCATAAATCGTTAAGGATAATCGAATGATTAACCCTTTGCGCTCCAAGAGTTTTCCGCCAAAAATACCCAACGCTTTCCGATGGAATATAATTAACATCTCTTGAAACTGGCTTCGCGAACAATCGCATATAAATTGAAGAAAGATTTTGTTTTATTTGAATATTTCACATATTAATGAACATCGCGTGAAACTTAACGTTAAATATTGTACTCCATAATTTTGGAGTGCAAAGGGTTAAAGGGCTGAGAGTAACACGTTATCTCGTTTCCTATCAAATTATCCTGAAATTACTGATCCCGAATCTGTGTACTTTTCTCTGCACGCGCACCTTTAATTGTAAATGAGTCAGAAGCTTTACTTAAACCCAGTAAGGAGAACGAAAATCATAGGCTCGACTCTAAGTACATAGATTATATCATTCAGGAAAATTGCTCGGATTGCTACAATGTTCGATGACTCTTCAGCATTATCTCTCGTGTATAAACTTATGTAACCGCATTGCTCTCAGAACGTTCTAACGAGTGGTACATTCTGTCCCAGGATGGAGGAAGACACAATGTAAGAAAATTCTGGGAATTAACATTGTTGAGTCACAAAATGAAACGATTGTGCAACTCTGAAATCAGAGGACAATGGGAATGACTAATTAAGAAGAGTTGTTGAGCTATGGAAAAATTATTTATCGCAAAGATGTAATCGACTGTTCTGTCTATTGTATTATCTTCAAGATACAGTTGGCTGCTCGAGTTTCTGATTCACTTTATTGCTGTGATTTGCATTTAAACCGTTACTACTAAGCATTGATACAAGATATTATCTAGCTGGATAATAAATGCTGCTTAAAGCGATGCTTTTATCATTTGAAGTATTTAATGTTTCGTTTAAATGAAATTTCATCATTAGTGGCATTGTCAAAAGAAACGTAATACGACTAATAATCTGATCTTCGTGTTACGTTAATGTCAGCCTTATTTCTATTGTACTTTAATAGAATTATGATTGAAGAATATCAGTTTGAACTTGTTTGTTTCAGCGATGTTAAATCCAGCATGGAATTCACCATCAATGGAGTCCCTTACACAGGTATTAGACTTAAATTCTTAGAACCATAGGCATTGTTCGGACAAAAGGATTAATACCGAGTTCTCTTTCAGTCGATGGGGATATATTACCTGGGACGTCCCTCAATGTATTCATCAGGGACCACGCGAAGCTACGTGGTACCAAAGCCATGTGTCACGAGGGTGGCTGTGGTGCCTGCGTCGTGTCCGTGACAGTAAAGGGCGTGACCATGTCCGTGAACTCGTGTTTGGTACCAGTTTTGATTTGTAACGGGTGAGTGGAATTTCCTTCGTCAACCCCTTACCCCCTCATTCATTTCCCAACCACGGTCGACACAACTACTGCCTCTCTAATCATTTATTGAGAAAGAGACAATTTGTAGTATAGTATGATAATCTATAACAGAAGAGTAATATTTCATTTGAATATTCTAAAAGTATCACGTCAAATATAAATGGTTGTCAAGCCTTGTCGCTTCAAAAATATTATATAATGACCTTTAGCCAATTCCAAAGGCAATAACAGTGAAAACTGTACAATTCTGGCAATACCGCCGGTTGGAGCGATAAGGGTGGAATTCCTTTGCAGGTATACCCCATATCTAATCCCATTCTATTTATTACAGCTGGGCGATCAAAACAATCGAGGGGATAGGTAATAAAAGGACCGGCTACCACGTGCTGCAGGCCTCTCTAGCAGAGAAGAATGGTTCCCAGTGTGGCTATTGTTCTCCAGGCATGGTCATGAATATGTACAGGTACGTGATTTTCTATTTCCTCCTTTTCATACTATATTCTATACAATTGATAAGTATCAGGGACAAGATTAATTGACTCCATTGCCGCATGCAGTCTGTTGCAGGACAAGAAGCTCACTATGAAGGAGATAGAGAATTCATTCGGTAGTAATATCTGTCGGTGTACGGGCTACAGGCCAATCTTGGATACGTTCAAAGGCTTCGCTGTTGACGCCACCGCAGAGCTCGCGAAAAACATCCGTGACATCGAGGTGAGCTTCGATACAGAGGTACAGCGTGGAAAAAAGTATCAGCCACTGTTTCGTTTCAACAGGAGCTGTATAAGATGAAGATCTGCAAGAAGACCGGTGCTCCGTGTCAAAACGGCTACAACGGGTGCAGCAGAGTCCAACAGGCAACCGACAAGGAAATTGACATGAAAGTGGGCGACTCGACGTTTCACAAAGTACTCTCAGTGGACAGTTTGTTCGAGGTGTTTCAGAGGAATCCTAATTCGAGCTATGTTTTGCACGGCGGCAATACCGCCCATGGTAACACGTCTACAATGAGACTAGCAATGATATTGATAATGGAATCTATTAACCCTTTACACCTCGAGAGGTGACTCTCAGTCATCACTTGATTTGATTTGCAAAATTATAAAGTCTTATATATAATATTTAGCTTTGTACGATGCATCAATATGTGGAATATTGAAATGAAATAACTTTCCTTCTTAATTTATATATGTTCCCTCGTTAATTAGTTTCAAAGAACATCGTCTTGAATATTTCTAGTGAAAAACTTTCGAGTGCAAAGGGTTAATACGTTTTTAATCAATATATATTAATACAAAATAATAAATATATATATTATTTGTTTATTATATATTATTAACATAATCCATTTGCAGGTGTTTACCGGTTAAAAGTCCCTGACATGTACATCGATATAAACGACATTCCCGATTTGCGCCACATAAGCAAAACCGATGATTCTTTAACCATTGGCGGCAACCTCTCTCTCACGGCGGTCATGGAAACTTTCAATCAGTACTCGAAGGAGCCAAACTTCGAATACCTGAAACACCTGGCTGATCATATTGATTTAATCGCAAGCGTGCCAGTTAGAAATGTGTGTATCAAGATTCCCAATTTATTGAAATACAGTAAGAGGTATCGTTATTTAATTGCAGGTCGGCACGTTAGCCGGAAACTTGATGATCAAGCATCAGTATCACGAGTTCCCCTCGGATCTCTTCTTGATGCTCGAAACCGCAGGCGCGCAATTACACATCGGTGAGTAAAATCACGAAATTCTGTCTATTTAAAGAATTAATCGCTGATCCGAGGCAATTCTCTATGAACAGTGGAAGCCGGTGGCAAGAAGACGATCATGAATTACTTGGACTTCTTGGAGATGGATATGAAACACAAAATTATATACAGCACAGTGTTGCCAGCACTTGGCAGCGAATATAAATACAGATCTTTTAAGGTACCTCTATGCCTTTCAACGGAAAAGATTACCTTTTATAGAATGCTACTTTTATACAGCGAATAATAACATTATTATAAATATTTCACAGATTATGCCACGAGCACAAAACGCCCATGCCCACGTGAACGCTGGTTTTCTACTTAAACTGGACGGAACTGGGAAAGTCCTGGAGAAACCGAACATCATATTTGGCGGTATACACAAAGACTTCGTGAGTACCGTTACGGTTTTCCACTGGCATGAAATTGTATACTCTCGAATCTTCCATTGACTGTTTGATTTCAGTTGCACGCAACGGAAACTGAGAATTTCTTGATCGGCAAGTCTGTCTTCAACAGAGATGTCGTCAAGCAAGCCATCAAGAAGTTGGACAGCGAATTGAACCCTGAACACGTGTTGCCCGATTATTCCCCGCAGTTCAGGAAGACCCTCGCGGAAGGACTTTTCTACAAGGTACTTGGACACGTCACGATCGGTGTGCACGCGTCCGTGATCGGTACTGGTAACCGTTGAGTGTGTTGCAGTTCATCGTGGGCTTGAAACCGGAAAACGTGGATCCAAAGTTGCGCAGCGCAGGCCCACTTTTGGAGCGTGGACTGTCATCAGGGAAACAGGACTACAACACGGATAAGAATCTCTGGCCTTTGACTCAGCCTCTACCGAAAATCGAATCTGCTTATCAAACTTCCGGCGAGGCGCAGTACGTGAACGACATACCGCCAATACCGAACGAAGTTTTCTGCGCGTTCGTCCTCTCCACTGTGCCCAACGGAAAAGTTGGAAGCATCGATTCCTCCGAAGCGTTGGTACGCTATCTTCCTTGCGAGTTCCGTTCAACGCGTTGAATGCCGCACGATTTCATCCAGTAAAGTACAAAATATAATGTTAAATCGATCAAAGTGCATTATTATTACTGCACGGTGATCCAGCTGAATGTCACCGTTATTAGGTAACACTGTTTGTAACATAGAAATGTTTTAATCGAGGTTAG